AACTCAAATCTTTTTCTTTTGATTGTTGTTCTTGATTTGCTAGGGTAAGAAAGCAAGTTTATGGAGCTCACTCTCTCTCTCTCTCTTGAAGCTAAGGAATTCGGCCAACACAAGAAAAAAAAAGGCCTTGGCTAGTTTAAATAATCTTCTAATCTTGAGTCCAACAAGATACTTGGCTAGGGTTTTGCCACATGTCCACTTACTTGTCCAATTCTTTCTTAATCTTGACTAATGGTATACTAACCTTTCCAAATGCACCAATAATTCTTTAACACCTCTAACTAACCTTTCCAAATGCACCAATAATTAACTAGCACCTATAATCCTACATGTAAGATCTCTACCACTAATATAAAGACACTTGGTAAAATGCAAGTGGTGTATAATTAAAATCAACTCAAGAAAAATGTTTTACTACAAGTAAAAAGGAATGAAGTGTAACGCATGAAAATTATTGTAACACCTAGGAAAGCTAATGTAAGGACATATAATATATGATTTAAATCCTAGAATAAGGCAATTAATTTGGGGAAATTGTGCTTTTTAAAAATGAGGGTTCTCACACACCCCCTGTTCCGGGCCCGCTCATCATTTTAAAAGGTGATACTACTCGAGTATGCCAAGCAAGATCTCTCAAATAGATCAAGTTTTACGAATTTCTCATGGTTCACCAAGCTTTTCGACCAAGCCCATGTCGGCTCGAGTCACAAGGTTAGCCTATGAGTTTGGGCGTCCCCCGAATATACATATAAGTCGACGAGACAACGCTCCAATCGACGATCACAAATTTGGACAAACAGAACTAAATTTGGAGTTTTGAGCATCAAGATATAACAGTTGAAAGTCAGCTGAATCTTGCAAACTGATCAGTGAATTTCCAGATTTGAAGAGTAATCTTTGGGCATCATTTGGATATCGAAATGATATTGAAATTACACCAAATTTAGTACGTTTAAACTTCCATATGTGGACTACCTCTCTATTAAATTATAGGCAAAAACTCACATGGGAAGGCAGTTAACAAAGTGACTAAAGTTCGTGAAATTTTCAAAGCAAATCTGCCAACCCACTCTATCTTTCTTTCCAAAGGTTTTTGTCCAATGAAATCAATCCCAATTCACTCCATTTTTGAAACCAAGGTTAATAAGCATTTGATGGTTAATTGACACTAAAATTTTCTAAATATAACCTCCCAAAACAAGAAAGGAAAAACTTCTAGTTTCCCAACTTTGTCGCGCTTTCGAAATCAAACCATATCTGACTCTATACAAACTCAAATTGAGAATGGTTGCTGGTGTTGGAAACTAAGTTCCAAAGGATACAATTTATTAGAAGACATCATTTTGATAATCTTTTCACAAATGGGACAAAATCAAGCCACAATGTGCAGCTTCCAGTTTCACTAGTATGAACAGTCAAAACAGAACAGCCAACTTTATTGACTCACTGCGGTTCACTCAAAATGAACCAGCAGGAGATTTTTATACCATTGGAAAGCTATGAATGTCTAGTTTTGATGCCACAAACGGCACTCAATTTTGACTTTTGTACAAAGAGTTACATTCGAACAAAGAACACTGTCCCAGAACCCCTGCTATATGTTTTTCCAGATTTGAATCTTGCCAAAATTCAAGTTTTATGCAACCAAATGAAACGATTTTTGGAAGGCACTTTGTACACACAATATACAACATATATCCATCAATTTCACAGTCAACCAAGCATCAGAATTTCGAAATAAAAACTGAACAACATGGACAGAATTTTCGGCCGGCTCAACCTCCAAAATTTTCCAACTTTCTCTCCATTTTCTAACCGTAATCCTTTCATTCATCACACAAACAACATTAACCAAGCAACATATCCTCAAGGAAGCTACCTACAAGCCTCCTCAAGACCGCTAGCCTAGAGATTAAAGTAAGGTAAATGGTTTCCTCAAGTTCTCTAACCTATTTTCTTGCTTAGGGTTGTAAACCCATGCAAACTAACCTTCAATCTTGAAGAAATTGGAAAGATTAAAGGAGATGAAGTTACCTCTTCAAACCCTAGATGAAACCAGAATTTTTCACCCAAAAACTCTCCAAGAAAATCCACAAGATGTTGCCTTTCTTCTAGTTAGAGTTGATTTCCAAGATGTATGGAAGTTGGATGAATATTTGGAGCAAGTTTGGAGCAAAGTTTGTGAAGCTTTCTTCCTCCTTTCTTCCTTGGTGTCTCGACTGAACAAGAGGAGAGAGAGGGTGTGAGTTGTGTGTGTTTGGCCTGTGAGGGAAGATTGGAGGGAAAAAGTAGTAAAAAGGGTTGCCAAAGTCAACTTTGAATAGTTGTCGAATAGTGTTTCGTACCACCACTTTTCTCTCTTGTTTGTTGCACTAGTGCACTAATCCTCCAATGTAATTCCTTTAACACTGTAATTACTCACTTTTAGGAGTCTAGGATAAATTTATCAAATCCCCACTAAGTCGTTCCGATGCAAAATGCATGAACTTTCAACTCGCGCGCGATAAAGCGAAATTTAAAAGAAATTCATGCAACAATAATATAATTAACTAACTCTAGGGTAAATAATTATAAAAATGACTATTTTAAGAATAAAAAGATCACCACCGCATAATTAGCTCTCCTTTTCCTCCTCCGGCACTGATAAGCGCAGCGGCAGCAGAGGCCTAGCTCCATCAAAATCCACAGTCTACGTGAGCAATCCAGACTACTCCTTGACAAACTCCGATCTCCACACAATTCCTCCACCTTTGGAAAAGTAGCCAAAGTCACCATCCTTAAAGACCGTGGCACCCACCAAAGCCAAGGCATTGCATTCATCCTCTTCATGTCTCCAGACATTGCCATAAAAGCTGTGAAGGGAATTGACAAGAAAGTCCTAAATGACAGAACCCTAATAGCTTCCATAGCTTCTAATAATGGCAGGGCCTGGAGTTTACAAGGAAGAGAATGTATAAGGGTAAAAGCAGGTGCTATGAGTGTGGGAAGAATTTGTTGGAGCCCAGAGAAAGGCCAGCGCCTTCAAAGAAGGGAAGGAGAGACGGTAGGGGTAGGAGTAGTGGAGGAGGCTGGGGAAGAAGAGAAGTGGAATAGAAGTAAAAAAATAGAGGCAGCGGCTGAAGAATTGTTGAGGCCTAGAGAACTTGGTGGTTTCTACTCTTTACCCTAGTTTCCAAACTCATCAAATGACCGACACGTGTTACTTCCGCATCAATTGAGCAAGGCACAAAATTTGTCCAAGAACCACGTGCTGCACATGGGACGACGATGAAGATGAAGTGAACCAAAAACCTCTTCCGCTCTTATACTATTTATGTTGATAAGGGGCTGGCGACCCATTCCCATGCACGGAATTTTGCCAAAAAAAAAAACTGCTTTGGCACAAGGGATGGATTTGCAAAAGATGTACAACATGTTATCTGAGGCCCACTTACAGATGTTGACATGAATGCGATCTTTACAATCAAATCCACTTTTTACTTTCTCAATGGAGAATGTGAGGTGTACCATGATGAGAGACATAAACTATCCTTGATTTTTTACAACAACGTGTGGATCCCCATGACCATCACCAAGAAAGCTGTTACTTATCATTTCTTAGATAGTAACCCTGAAGTAGAAAGGAGCCGCAATGCTTGATCTGAATTGTTCAGAACAGCAGATGATCTTGAAATCTGCATTTTCCGTTTCTTCAGCAACTCCAGTGAACTCTGTAAACATTGAGCCGGTGGTATCTCCTCTAGAATAATAGGTTCTAGCCCTGGTCTTTTTGTTCTCTTCTTCACTGAGGTGGGCTTTTTCTTCTTCTAAATTCGATGAAAAAACTTTCTTCTCGCTGCAAGCAGTTTCACAATTTCATCTGGCAGCATTCCCTGGTAATCAGGGGACTCTTGTTTTGGTTCAATTTCCTTCACATCTTCAATGCTTTCCTCCTCTCCCGATGGTCGTGGAGTTAACTTTTGAGCCCATCTTCTCCAACGCTCTTTTCCCTTGCAAACAACTCTGGCCTTATTTTCTTTTTGAAGTATAGTTATTTCTTCATCTTGTTTGATTCCCTGTTGAGAGGTGAATTCCTCGCGGGCTACATCCACTACAACAAAAATGACTTTTCCTGACATGCCTATAAGAACACTTGCTGGTTTGTGTCATTATAGTAAACATATCATGACACTTATTAATAAATTAATAATATGTATTATAATTTTTTTATTTTATCATGATATACAAATAATAATGTGCCTTTAGGTAACCTATGATGACACTCTGGAAAATGTGAGATGAACCAAAAAAAATCGAAAAAACACAAAAAACGACATCGTTTTATTTTGGCTCCAAAACACTTGCTGAAGTACTGTGAAGTTTCATTTTGCCGGCAAAAGGACTTGGTGAAAATTTCCTTTTTCTCATCTCTCTCACCTCTCAGCATACAAGCTATCTCGGCCAATCCAGAATTTTGGTAGCAATCGAAGCTATCTCTGCAAACAACCATCTTCATCTTTTCTAACCTCAACTTTAAATCCCTCGGCTAAGACATTTGGAAGGGTAGGCAGGGAGTAAAAACTGAAGAACGGAGCTCCACATTGGGAAAGCGGGAAGATACTTCAGGTGCACATATCTTGTTCCAAAATTGAAGTGGTAAACACAATGAAGCTGTTGCCCATAACCTGTTCGATAAAATGTTAATTCCCCCCTATTTTTCATTTTTTTCTGTGTATCTCTTTTAATGCTAATCTATGAAACTTAGTTGTAATTGAAGCTCTGTTTAGGCTATGAATAGAAATCGACTTGGAAGCTCTTTGATGAAGATCAAAATAGCAATGGGGTGACTGGAATGACCTTTTTGCAAGACAAGTGCAAAAGTTTAAGAAATAGGTTAATGAAAATTAATATTTAAGGACTTAATTAATGGACTTCTTATTGAACTGCACATTGGTCATGTGCTGGTTATTCATCTGTGGCAGATAGGTTCAGATTCTTAATATTCAAATGGGACTAATGACATGCAAGACTTGGTCCATGATGTATTTGGGATACCACATGGAACAAATAAATTGAATAGAGAAGGGGACTTTCCTATTTCAGAGGCTGAAAAATTTTACAAATTGATTGATGATTCTCAACAGGATTTGTACAGTGGTTGCAAAAATTTCTCGAAGTTGTCTTTCATTATTCGTTTGCTTCACCTAAAATGCCTTGGTAAGATGAGTAACAAGATTTTTAATATGCTTGTTGAGCTGTTGAGAGAAGCATTTCCGGAGGCCATGACTAATTTGCCTTCTTCTTACTATGAGGCTGAGAAATTGATGAATACATTGGGGCTAGGTTTTGAAAAGATCGATGCATGTCCTAATGATTGTTCTCTTTATTGGGGTAGTGCTGAAAAAAGAACTTCATGCGAAACATGTAACGAGCTTAGGTAGGTTGCTTCAGAAAATGATTCAACTGGTGAAAAAAGAAAAATCCCTCAAAAAGTATTGTGGCATATTCCTTTAAAAGCTAGATTACAAAGACTATTTATGTCTTCTAAAATTGCATCTCAAATGAGATGGCATGAGGAAAAACATACAAAAGATGGTTGTATGAGACATCCAGCTGATTCTCCAGCTTAGCAAACTTTTGACCATCTACATTCAGAATTTACTAAGGATTGTCGAAATGTTAGATTGGGGTTGGCATCTGACGGGTTTAATCCATTCAACAATATGAGTTCTACACACAGTACTTGGCCTGTGGTTTTAATACCATATAACTTACCTCTATGGATGTGTATGAAGCAACCGTACTTCATGTTGTCCTTGTTAATACCCGGACCATCCTCTCCTGGGAATAATATTGATGTTTATCTACAGCCTCTAGTTAAAGAATTGACCGAATTGTGGGATTTTGGCATTCAAACTTATGATGCATCCCAAAAAGAAAATTTTCAATTGCATGCAGCTCTGTTGTGGACCATTAGTGATGTCCCTGGATATGCAATGTTATCTGAGTGGAGCACTAAAGGTGAATATGCTTGTCCTGTTTGTCACAAGTTCACTCATGCTCGACGGTTGACTCATAGTTTCAAGCATTGCTATATGGGTCATCGTAGATTCTTAGATAGTAAGCATAAATTTAGAAAGCAAGCCCAATTGTTTGATGGCACCGAAGAATATGGAAAGCGACCACCTTTGCAAACTGGGGATATGATTGTGAGTGAATTGGGAGACTTGCAAATTAAATTTGGAAAACTTGTGAAAAGTAATCCGAAATTGCCTTTTAATTGGAAAAAGAGGAGTATTTTCTTTGACTTGCCATATTGGAAAGATAATGTCTTAAGACATAATCTTGACTTCATGCACATTGAGAAGAATGTTGGTGAAAATATTTGGGGGACATTGCTGGATATTGAGGATAAAGCAGAGGACCATTATAATTCCCACTGTGATTTGAGAGAAATGGGAATAAGAAAAGAGCTGCATCCCATTGAGATAGAACCTGGAAAGGTTTACTTACCTCCATCTTCCTTTGCAATGGATAAAAAACAGAAAACTATGTTTTGCAATGTGCTAAAAAAAGTGAAATTTCCAGATGGTTATGCAGCTAACGTCTCAAGATGCGTTCGAGTAAAGCCACCAAGAATTTCGGGGCTTAAAAGTCATGATAATCATATCCTAATACAGCAATTGATGCCTATAGCTTTGAGAAAGACTTTGCCAAAATCAGTGCGCTATCCTTTGATTCGATTGAGTAGATACTTCAGGCAGCTTTGTTCTAAAGTTATTTGTCCTCAAGATGTGGTTCGTTTGGAAAGTGAAATTGCCGTTATACTCTGCGATCTTGAGAAATGCTTTCCACCAACATTCTTCGATGTCATGGTGCATTTAACTATTCATTTGGCAACTGAAGTGAAATTAGGTGGCCCGGTGTATTATGGTTGGATGTATCCTGTAGAGAGGTACTGCTTGTAATTCTAATTATGCCTTAAATGTTTATTACTTTTTTTCTTTCTTTGATTTGTAGAACTAAACAGAGAGTTTGGAATGATGATACTTTAGGTACCTAGGAACATTAAAATTGTGAGAACCCAGAACGGAAAAAAAAAATTTAGGGTTTTATTCCTGTGCACCCGTTTTCTTTTATTTTCTTTATTATATTACTTTTATCCACATTTTATCAGTAAATATAGTTTTTAAATCATTTTTTCTAGTATAAGGTAGTTCGTGAGAAATTAGGAATATATTTTGGACGTGGGACCCGCTAGTGTATTAAGTGAGAGACATTCGGCCAATTCGGTTCAATTTTCATAAAGGGATTTAATTACTAGGTGTTAGTAGATGATTAGAGGTTATCTAGATGGTTTAATTATGGAGGGACAAGAAGATAACTCTAAACAAAACAAAGTGCCAAGTGTCCAATTCTTGTTGGCTTAAACTTGCCTAACTTTGCCTAACTTTCTTTATCTTTACTTAAAAGTCCAAATTTGACCAAGTTGTCTTCACTCCTTCATCCCTCTTGACCAAATCTCCCTTGGAAGCAAAGGAAAGAAACCTTCAACCTTTCATCTTCAAATCCTTGCTCAAATCTTGAAAACTAACCGATTATTTCTTGAATTAGTCCATAAAATCATCTTGCTAAGGGTGTTTGAAGAACTTGGTGGTTTTGTTTTGGAAGAAAACCTCCTAAGCTACAACCTTTCTTGAGGAACTAAGGTATCTTGCTTGGAATTCATCTTTTGTTTCTAATTTTGGCCAATTGGTGCCTTATAGTAGCTATATACGTGATTTTACGAAAGATTTGGTGGATTGGAGTGAAGCTAGCAAATTTTCTGATTTTTGTGGATTTATTTCTGTTTTCCTATGATGGATATGTTTGGGCTTGAATTGATGGTTCTAAATGGTGTTAAATAGCTCTCTTGTACGTTAATTGTGGTTATTTACGGAAAATTTCCGCTTGTGCGGAAAATTTCAGATTTAGGGTTTCAAATTGGGGGTTTTCTATGGATGATTGTTGAGCTTCTAATTGGCTATAATTGAGGGGTATTGTGACCCTAATGAAGTTTATTGAATGGCTTATGAATTGTTTGGGTGCTTGTGGTTGTGTTGGATGGCTTTTAATGGTTGTTTTGTAGGTTGGAAAAGCTGAAATTTTAGGGGAAATGCTGTCCAAGTGTCTAGGGTATTGGGTTCTTATGAGTCGGGTTGTGATTGGATAGAAATGAGCAGTTTTAGGGATTGTTTCCACTTTTAACCCTAAATGTTATGTATTTTTCATTTCCAAGCTATATTTGGGTCTTGCCTTAAGGGTCCCTATTAAAAAGGTATTCAACTCGTGTTTGAGTTTTAATTGCACTTTCTTGATTATTATAGGGCGTGCCGGTGATCCAAGGCTCACGTCGGGCGAAAACTTGTGAAATTTCTTTGTCGAACTTGGTGAGTGTACTACTCACATATTTGTTATTCCGTGGCTTTCTTGAACTTGAATTCTGTGATTTGGACTAGTTGTGATGATTGTTTGGACTAGGTGAGGCGGGGGTGTACTTTACCACTCTCGTACTCTCTGGCCTCCTTGATTGGTTATTATATTAGACCTACTTGTTTGTTTAATTATATCACTTGAATACTCTTGAATGGATTTGATTTGGTGTCGATTGGATACCAACCTTTACTGTAACTCTGAACCTTTACTGTTTACTCTGAGTTCTACCTCATTGGAAGTCAATGGACTCGAGCCAGTAAGGACTTGGTCGGGGACATTTGACAAACCATGGGGACTGTATTTGGGAATCTTTGGGTATGAGACCCTTGATTCCGGTATACTCGAGTAATACCAATTCTGTACTATTTGGTGTTCGGGCCCGGTAAGGGGAAAGTGAGGTGGACGGATAATTGGAGTAAAGAGGAGTCTACGGTCATGATTACCTAGTATACATTGACGGAGGGTCAATGAGATGAGATCAAGTATGGCAAAAGAGGAAAAGGGCTCTTGAGAGCCATCCGTATCCTTTTACTCCGTATGCTTGGGTGTTATTGCTTTTGCTTACTTGATGTACGTATTTGGATTGAATATTCTTGTGTTTATGTGCTCTTGGTGTATTTACGTGATAGTACCTCATTGGGCGAAAGCTCACTCCGTTAATTTTGTTTTCCTTACAGGGAATTATCTTTTGGACTTTTGATTTGGAAGAATGAGTTGAGTAGAGCTAGTTGAGAAGTTTTGTATAACTCCTCAATAGTTGGAACCCTAATTGTATTTGGATCTAAATGCTTTCTTTTGGCTTGTAAACATACGAACGTGGTTTGTAATAGGGTGTGTACTCCTGTCCAATGTATTATATTTGGCTTGTATATATTCTTTTCAGTGATTGTTGGATTACTTGTATTCAATGGGGTCTTGGCAGATTGTGACGTGGCAGTCCCTATTCGCTTTATGTTTTGACTTTTGTTTTCCGTTTCACGACTCTTGGTTTGGTTAAGTGCGTTAATAGTTTCCCGAACGACTTGAGTTAGGGTTTGACCGTTTTAGTAGTCCTGGCGAGAGCTGGGCAGGCAGTCCGCTAACTCCTTTGGTACGCCTTAGGGGAAGGTGGGGCTGTCACAAAAATCTTATGTTCGAAATAAAAGTAGGCCTGAAGGTTCGATTGCTCAAGGCTACTTGGCAGAAGAATGCATAAACTTTTGCATGTTGTATCTTGCGGACTATGTTGAGACAAAATTCAATCGTCCAAGCAGAAATAAAGAAGTACATAAGGAAATTGAAGAGGGTTCAGATATATTCTCTGAATCAAGACATCCTTTGGGGAGGGACAAGCCAACAATCTTTGATGCTCATATCTTGAGTAAAGCATATCAGTATATTTTATTTAACTGTGATGCTGTCACACCTTACATGGAGTAAGTTCAACTACAACTTGATGCATTAAAATTTTATTGTAGAATTCAATGTATGATTACAATTTTGACTCATGTACTTCTAGGCAGCATCGTAGATTGATAGAAGAAGGGCATCCTCAAGTTCCACAACATCTAAAAGAGCGCTTGCACAGCGAAAATTTTGCTTGTTGGTTTGCTGAACATGTAAGTAAAATTCTGAATATTAAGTACAATTTGAATTGTAGGACTTCAAATATAGTTTCATCTTCTTTTTTTTTTTACAGATTGACAAGTTAGAACTTCTTTGAAATGTTTTGGTGTTGAGAGACTTGAGGTTCCTTGCTAAAGGTCCATATGTTGTTGGAATCCAACATGACAAGTACGTTGTTAATGGATTTCGGTTTCACACCAACGAAGTTGAGAAGAAAAGAAAAACGCAGAATAGTAGTGTTACAGTCAATGGAACAACATCCAGTTTTGCAAGTATAAGGGATCAAAATCTAGTTTTGAGTGAACTAGTTTACTTCGGCGTCTTGAAAAATGTTGTTGAATTAATTTACGGAGGTCGTCGGGTGGTGTTATTCGAATGTGATTGGAAATCAAATGGTTCGAGAATGAAACAAGATGCTGATGGGTTTACTGTAGTCAATTTTGCAAATGTGAGACCTCATGTTGAGCCATTTATACTCGCTTCACAAGCATCACAGGTTTTTTATGTGGAAGATCCAACTGATAAAGATTGGCAAGTTGTTATCTCTACCACTGCAAGAGATGGATATAACATGGGCACAACCATGGATGTTGAGACATATTTGCAAAGTGATGTTGGCAATCCTGTTGTTGAGAATGAAAATGAGGAAATTAGTTGGGTTCGTGAGAATGGACTTGGGATTGAAGTTGATTTGTCCCAATATAATCTGATTTAGTATCTTTTATAGTTGCTAAGCTTGTTGGCCCTATTGTTATATGTTTCAATTGCTAAGGCTCTACTACTGGCTGCAATTACTTGCCTACATTTCGTTGGTCTAAAATTATGTGAGAACCCTAAACCTTTCACATTTTCTTAGCCTTTTGGTTTATTTTCACTTCCCCTTTTAGTAAAAATTTGTTAACCAATTGTTTTAAACAAAGGAAGGTTTTGTTGATACGTTTATTTGTGTGTGAGATATGTATATATGTGTACGTGTTGGAGGTACGGTTGAGCGAGACAATAGAACTTGGAAAGAAGGAAATTTTTTGTGCAAAAGTGAAGGGGCCAAATCTGGCCGCAAATCTGGCTAGTTATTGGCCGGATTACTGGCCGGAATGTTGTGCAGTTTTGAAAAAAAAATAGTTTCCTCTCCGGCCAGTATCCGGCCAGATTCCTGCCGGATTCTGACGTGGCACAGGCGGCCATCAACTTTGACCGCCTGTTTCCTTCTATTTTTAAACTGTTCTGGGCCAAAAATATCTTCATTTTGCTCCCTTGTTCAGCCGTGGCTCTTGAGAGAAGAAAGAAAACTCTTCTTTTTCTAGTTTCAATTTTCACTTAAATCTTGAGTTTTAACCATTGGACTTTGAAACCACTCCGTACAAGCGTTAGCTAAGGAGGACTAGAGGTTTTGGTGGAGTTGTTTTTAGAGGGAAAGCTCTAAGTCATCACCTTTCTTGAGTTATAAGGTGAGATGCTAAGCAAGTTTCTTTGTTCTTTTGATAATGGTATATTAGTGCTAAGTGAAGGTTAATTATGCTATATTGTGGTTGATTTCATGATTTTAGGTCGAGTTGGACCATTTTCTGAATTATTGAGGATTTTTCTGGTTTTATATGAAAGTTATGGATTGGTCTTGGATTGATGGATTAAAATGGTTTTAAATGAAACTTTTATGCTTGAATTGCGGTTGTTTACGGAAAATTTCCGCTTGTGGTGTAAATTTCCTGTTTTAGGGTTTCAATTTGGGGGTTTTCTAATGGTGGGCTTTTGAGCTTCTAATTGACGTTAATTGAAGGGTTTTGTGACCTAATTGGACGTGTTTTATTGTTTATAAACCGAATGTACGATTGTGATTGATTCTGGTAAGATGGGGTTTTGGTTGTAGGGAGAAAATGAAGTATTTAGGGGATATGCCGTCCGTTTATTTTCTTATAATATGTATGAGTTAAAGTGGTTTTGGAAATGTGTTTTATGTCGCGTTGGATGTATTTCATTGAAAGTGTCATCAATTCTTTAAAAAGGGGTTTGAGGATTAAGTTTTTATTTGAACTCCTATATTTCCGCTTGGTAAATACTATGATCGTTTTATTATTCTAAAACATGATACTTCTACCGTTTGAAACTCCCAATGTTTAATTACTCCTTCCCGAAGAAAGAGGTATGACTTAGGGTTTTCTCGGCCACAAGTGAACTACTTTCAAGTGAGGTTTAAGTATGAAAGTTAAGGTATTTTATTCACCTTTTTACATCATTTTCATCAAGACATTTGGCCTATAACAGCTACTTGAACATGAGTTGACCGCAAACCACATAAACGATTCCAAAAACAATATTTCTTAGTCTATATAGTTGGATTCCGACTTGTTTTTGGTTCAAGTATTTTCCGTTGGAAATTTTATACCCCTTTTGAGTTTGTTTTTGCGTTTGGTTTATGAAACCCTAGTTATTTCCGTCTACCAGTCCAAATGCCCTGTTTCACTTTAAAGTCATTTTATACGTTCTACTCATCATTTATTGGGTTTCTTCGGTTTCACCTAATTGGTTGTGCTATATTCTTTCTCGTTTAATCCTAGGTTTTTTCGGTGACTAAAGGTAATATCCGGAAGGATATTTTGCACGTTGTTTTGCATATATAGGTGAGTGTTCCTTGTTTGCTATATTTTCTTGACTTCATGACTTGTATTATCATTTGATAACGTGTTAAGTGCTCTCAATGATTTTCAAAACGAGTTTTCTAGGCGAGTGTGTACTTTATCGCACTCGACCTAAATAAATGTGAAATTTTCAAAGATTTAATGATTGAAACGTTAGTTGTGCATGATGTAAGCCTTTTGGCTGAACTGGGCCCTGCCCTTCGTTACCGATCGACTCCAGCCAGAAGCGGACTCGGTCGGGCAATATGGTGACCCTGGGTGTAAAAGTGGTATACTCGAGTATTATCTTGAATTCTGGTGGAGCCTGGCCAACGTCCAGGAGGGGGTGAATGAAACGAAAGAACGAACGAGGGTTTTATTTACAAAAAAATGCATTTTCAAATGATTGGAGGAATAAGGGGAATGACAGGAGAACGAACGAATGAACGAACGTATCCTTTAATGTATGTGTTATTATCACTTTCCATTGTAAATGTTTCTTGAATTATTGATGCTCTATGTTATTGTATTGGTTTGCTTGTTTGATTATGTGTTCGGAACCTCACTGAGCTTTTAGCTCATTCCTTTAGTTTTATTTTCCTTAACAAGGGAAGGTGAGCAAGGACGAGAGCTTGTATCGACTAGCCTAGGCTAGGCCTTTGATTTTGTAATGGTTATCGCCCTAGTGCTTGGCACGGGTTGGTTGTATGAAAATTGAGAACCTTTGTATATTTGATGGGTGTATTTCCTTTTAGATAGCAATGTATATAAGTTTCACTTTAAGTTTGGATCATTGTTATTCTTATTCTTGTGGCTTTTTCCGATGGCTGCTTGAAGTGATCGACTGAATCCCGACGAGAGTTGGGCAGGCGGTCCGCCGAACCCTTTGGTTTGCCTTAGGGGGAGGTGGGGCTGTCACAAATTACTTGAAGCTTGTGAGTTTTGGTTCGTTTGATTATTGTATGCAGCAACTAAATTTGAAGGGACAAATATGGTTTCAAATTTGCGGAATTGCAGATCATGGTGTTTATTCAAGCACCTGCCCGTACACCATACATGGTCTCAATTGAAATGTTCTGTACAATCTCTAAATGCCTTTGTGTTATGGGAAATTGCTATCCATCAAATCCACTTTCAAGTTTGATTATGATTCATTAAATGTTTTAACAAAATTGTTATTATTATTTTTGATAATTACAATAATCATTTCTTTGTTTTGTTTTTAAAATTTTTTAGTGTAAGATATAATGCAATTTTTGCAAATCAATTCAGACCAAACATAAAACAACCCATTACTAATTTTAAGAGCCCAATAGGTTGGATAAATACTGGTCATTATTTTATAAGCAATTCCATTAATTGTAAGCTGTAATATTAATGTAGTGAATCATTGTATTATGGCCAATTTTTTATTTCCAATCACCCTCTCTAATTTTTTCTCAATAGAAATAATTTGAAACTTTAATCGATAAATTTCTTAAATTATTTTTTTATACAATGGAAAAAATATTTTTTAAAAAAATAACAATTCAAAAAGTGAAATTCTCTAATTTCCGGTCGAATTGATGTTTGATCGAATTTAATCGGTTTAGTCAAAATTTTGGATTTACCATTAAATTGACTGGAGACACGATCGAACCGATCAAGCACGATCGAATCGATCAAACCGATCATACTGATCAAACATTGTTATTGCATATTCTGTATATATACTCCATAACTAATCTTTGATTGAAGGTTGTTCGGTTTAATTGAATTTTTGGATTAACCATTGAACAAGACTGGAGACACAATCGAACCGGTCGAATCGACCGAACCGATCATTCCGAACTTGGATTGTTATTGCATATATGTCCACTCCATAACTGATCTTTGAGAGAGTTTAATCCGTTTTGTCGAAATTTTGGATTGACCATCAAACTTTTCACTAATCTAACATTTATTAGTGGAAAGTTCAAATTTAAGATCTTGTAAGTGTTTAATAGCTTCTAATTAACACAAAGTTGAACGGCAATTGCTTTGGAATTGAAAACATTGAATATTCTAAGTGTTTAATTGCTTCTAATTAACGCAAAGTTACACGACAATTGCTTTGGAATTGAAAACATTGAATATTCTAAGTGTTTAATTTAGGGGTGTGCATCGAGTTCGAAATCGGTAATTTGGAAGTTTGAATTCAGAATTTTTCAAAATTTTGGTATCTGATAATTCGACCGAATTCGATTTCGAATTCACCAATTCCCAATTCGATCAGAATTCGGTAAATTCCGATTTCACCAAATTCGAAAAAATTTATATATTATTATATAATATAAAATTTATTATATAATATAAAATTTATAATATAATAGTATATAATATTATATTATATAAATTATATAAATTTTATATAATATTATATAGTATAAATTTTATATTACATGTATAAAAAATATATTTATATATTAAAAATGAATTTGAAATCGAAATCGGAATTCGAATTCCAAATTCGAATTGTGAATTCGAAATCGAAAATTCCGATTTGAAAAACTCCATTACCGAATTCGAATCAAATTTGAAATATATGAATTCGGAAAACGCGAATTCGATTTCGATTTCCGATTTACCGATTTCGAAAATTCCAAATTCAATTCGAATTCGGTCGGTAAATCGAAATTTTTCGATTTTGCACACCCCTAGTTTAATTGCTTCTAATTAACATAAAGTTGAACGGCAATTGCTTTGGAATTGAAAACATTGAACATTCTAAGTGTTTAATTGCTTCTAATTAACGCAAAGTTACATGGCAATTGCTTTGGAATTGAAAACATTGAATATATACATGTTCAATCAATTCTAAGTGTAAGTCTAAGGTTTATCAGTGAAAAATTCAATTTTAAGATCTTCTAAGTGTTTAATAGCTTATAATAAACACAAATTTGAACGGCAATTGCTTTGGAATTGAAAATATTGAATATATATGTTCAATCAATTCTAATCCTAACGTTTATCAGTGGAAAGTTCATGTATTCACAAGTTCATTTTCATGTTCCATAAACTAATTCGATCCTTCTAACGGCTTGTTAGACTACAAGCCGTACATAATTGCTAGTAGCATAAAATAAATTGGGTACCGAAAACATTTTGATTAAATTCATGTTTTTTGTTAGCTTCACAAAATTTTTAATTTAAGATATTTTTAGTTGTTATACTATATTGTGTATAGCTTTAACAAAATTTTTACTTGTTATATAGCTTTAACAAATTTTTTAGTTGTTATTTTTGTAGTTGTTATATTATATTGTATATAGCTGTAACAACATTTTTAGTTGTTATATTTTTAGTTGTTATGTAGTTTTAACAAAATTTTGCCCAAACACACAAAAATTAGCGCGGCAAATTGAAAAATTCAAGAGGCTTGACTAATTTACTTTGGCATCATTAGTACAGCCTTTATTTCAGACATCTTCTCCCTCTCTCGTTGTCCTCTCCCTTTGCCCTCTCTCTCTGTTTCAAGCTCGCACCACCAATTTGGATAAACCCGTCCATGAACTCGAACCCATTTGGGTTGAGCTCGCACCATGAAAATCCCTAATTCAGTTGTTGCATTGGCTTGGTGGCAAGGAATGAGAAATTAGGGCTTCAAAGCTTGGGTGAAAGCTGGAGTTCAGATCTTTAAGCTTGGGGAAACCGAGAAGTTAGGGATTCAAGCCATAGTTTGAGGTAATTTCAATATTTTGTGTCTAATTTTGCATTGCATGGTAGACATCTGTCTAATTTAGGTTGTTCAATTCCCATTTCTGACATGCTCCTTCTCCGTTTCTGAGAAGCACATTTCTAGTTGCATAGGTCGAAAGCCTGGTAGAGATGCTATCTGTTCTTCTTTCTTGTCAGATTAGGACAATGTGGCTTGTGAGAGCTGTCGAATGCAACATAGTGTTGTGTATTGTCAGTTGCTTTCTGTTATAACTTTAAAGAGTAAATTTCCAAAGTTTTTTTTCCTCATGAATCCTGGACTTCTAAATTGTTGGTGCTGATTGTTTATGAGGAAAATTGTAGTCACAAATGAAAATGATAGCTTTGGATTCTAGTATGATTGTTGAAAATTGTAAGTGTCTTTGCTAGTACTTGGTAGATATTGGGTTCTAAAATGCCTATTCTGTTAGTTTTGTTTTTCACCAGCAAATGATTGTGTACTGGACTGCTTGATTTGAGCAAGTAGGAGGTTTCCCCATGAATGATGGACTTCTTTTGGTTCTGCTCTGTTTTTACTTTCCATGGGAGCTTTTCAGTAACCTCTCAAATGGAACTACATGACCTGAGCAGACCTTGTGACGTGAGAACATTTTGTTGATAGAGATGATAGTATTAGGATTTTGAGAATTGATTTGTGGGTTTCGTCAAATTTACCCAACTGTAATCATCAAGTTCTTAAAGCTGTTTTCAAGTTCTGATTTATAAGCAAAAAGGTTTTTCAAATATAATTAGAAGCAAACTGCCCGAGTTTGATATACAATAGATTCAATAATATTCATTGCAACTCAAAATTAGTTCAATAAAAGTATGCTTGAGCTCGGCTTGCAGTGTAAGCTGTAGTCAAGATAACTTGTTCATTAATTTTATCTTGTATACTTTATCCATTATCCCATATTGATGCACTGCTATAGGTAGAGTGTCTGCTTCAATAAAGGCTACACATTAACATTTGTCCCTTTCTTCCCCCAAAAAATATATATATGGTGGTGGACTTGGTATCAAATAAATGGTGAATTATGCAGGTATGGCCCTGGCCCGTAGAGGTCGAAAATGTAAGCGCGCTGCAAATGGATTGAGAGATGAACCAATTGAGCAACCTCCCTCATGTCATGAAACAAGGCAGCAGCCTCCACTTGGAACAAGCCATGAAAATGTAATTGAACAAGTTCAAGGAGAAGCTGCTCGGGCACCTCAATCTCCAATTCAAAATTCTACATTGGGAATAATGCATGAATCAGGTGACCAAGTTACTCAACATGCTGATGGAGGTTCACAGTCGCATGAGCAGTGCCAGAACTCTCCAATTCAACAATCTCCACTTGGAACAAGGCACGTACCAACTGAAGAAAATCCAAATCAGGATTCTCAAGGTCAACATTCCAATGACACCACCTTCATGTCATGCAACTCGGACGATGCAGGTATTACTAACTGTTTGAACCAATTCTAGAAGTGCATTTTTTATGTTCATAACTTGCACCTTTTTCTTATTTTATACAGGAAAAGAAACTGCAAATGATTCAAGTGAAGTACATTAGAAAACCCGAGGCCCTATATTTATGAAAGAAATTTGGGGTCGGCCTAATGACCTTCCACGGATTGAGATTAAACTCGATGACAATGGGATCCCAATAAGTGAGAAAACCTCTTTCTCTAAATTCTTAGGCAGTTTGGCTAGGAATGGTATGTATTGTCCAATAGATGTTGAAAGTTGGCTTAAGATGCCAAGGAAACTTAAAATGGATATGTTAGAAGTGATAAAGGTAATGGTAGCTTTTGTATTATGTATGCTTTCTACAAAAATTACTGTGAAATTATGTTGATTTTCTAGTTCCTAACTACGTTTCAGGAAAGGTTTGCTTTGCCTATGGGACTAGAAGTTTGGACCTTAAGATTTATTGGCAAAAAATGGAGAAGCTGGAAGGCAGATTTAAAGGCTACATATTTTGATCCTGCCGTGCCAAATGCTGAGGCTCGGTTTCAAAAGGACATAAGGGTACGGGAAGAGCAATGGATCAAACTTTGGGTTTATTGGAAAAGTGAAGAAGCAAAGGTACAAATCAGCTACAACATTCTTCATAAAGTTGTGTTTATTCAATGCTGTAATCTTGCTTTTGATTTTGAAATTTAGAAACTAAGTGAGAGGAACAATAAAGCTAGAGGGGAGAAGAAGATGAGCCACACAACTGGAAAAAAGTCATTTGCTCATCTTCGGAACCACTTGGTGATATCTCATCCTTTTTTTAGTTGCTATTTTTTTAACTCGTACATGTTTCATTATGTTAGCTTGTTTTTTAATTATATGCTAAATGCTAAAACTATAATTAAAAAAATTCAATTTCTTATAGGCCAAACAATTGGGAAGACCTCCTACTAGAGTAGAAATGTTCAATAAGTTCTATACACATGCCGATGGAACTCCATCAAGTACCATAGTTGCTGAGAATTTGGTAAGGATCCAAGAACACAAGCCTATAAATTCTACCATTGTTTTCAGACAGGCTTTTGCAATAACAAGTATTTTCTTTTATTATGTAGGAAAAAATGAATGAGCTGAAAAATCAGCTTCCATCGGAGTCGCAAGATCCAATTGGTCGCAATAATATATTTGCCCAGGTGGTTGGGCAAGACAAACATGGTCATGTTCGCTTGTTTAGTGACGGTGTGAATCCAACGGACTTATGGGAAGACATTCCTAGTCGTAACACATGTTACCGTATAAGTGTTCAACAACAGTCAATATTGGTCCATTTGGAGGAAAGGCTTCAGCGACAAGATGATGAAATAGCCAGCTTGAAGAAAATGGTTTTTAGTTCAACATGGAAGGGGCTCTCCAATTGATAGCCCGAGACATCCTTCATCATCATCTAACAATGTGTCAAGCCAAACTCCATTGCGAGCCACGCGACCTATTCGAGTAAGTATTTACAACTTTAAAACTTTCACATTTGTAATCTGGAATTTGGCATGAGTTTGATTCTTATAATTGTTGGATCTTTACTAGGTAGGGAATATGGTTTCACTAAAAAGTTTGTTTAACCCAACAAAAATCGTGGCAAAGGGATATTTACGGAGTCTGAATCCATTGGATGAGGTTGGGGGACAAGCTCTTGGGCCAAATTGGTGTGAAATACAGATACAAGTTGCAATGAGTCCATGTGAGCAATTGATTAGACCGTATGATTTGCAGCAAACAATTCAAAATGCACTTGGTGCACCAGTTGCTTGACCTTGTCATTTGGTGAGATATGCACTTAAATACATTGCAGATTTTCTGAAATTTTAGTTCTAGCTATAATGATCTAATGATCCCCTTGATCTTTGTGCATAGGTGGAAATAACTGAAGAATGATGGGGACTTCATGGTTATGACTGAGGACTCTCAACAAAATGGAAAGTTTGGAAGCTACTTCTACTTCTTTCAACTTGTTAGGGATGAGAGTCTTTTAGTTTGTGCACAAGAAAGTCTTTCAAGTTATTGTAAATGACAATCTTTTGGTACTGGTTTGGAATTTTAGTACTTGCTCTTAGCACTTGTTTGCGATTTTAGTACTTGTTATCGACTTTTAATTTAATGAAATATATTTGAGTATTGATTTCTTCTTTTAAATTGCTATATGCATTCTGCTCTTTGGGATAATTTTACAAGTCCCTTGGGATTCTGGTTGATGGAATGTACAGCAGGGAGGACTAATTGCAGGTTGCTACCATATAAAAAAAAACAGGGAAAAAACTCCTGGCAATTAAAAGTGTCAGCATAGCTTAGCTCAAAAAACACTAATGACAAATGGCCATGTCATCCAAAGCAGTGTAAATTCACATGGCTGCGTGTCCTTAAAGCCATATATTAAGACAACTGAAGATGCCTTCATAAGTTGGATATCCTACTAATCCGCTACTGATGTTCTAAAGCTATGCGGACACTTTCAATTATCACAAAAAATAGTTTTTGTTGGCAGAAGGAATGCTATAGCAGCATGGTTTTCCTGACACATTTGAATGCTGTTAAAGATTTAAGGCTATCCCCACATTGGAAGGGACAACACTCGCCCTAAGTGTGAGGATAGATAAAGTGTCAGGTTAGAATATTTAGACTGACACCTTTAAATGCCGCTAAATGCCATTTTTGTTGTAGTGATCGTCGGAGTCACTATCTCCTATATATATATATTTTCCTTCTATTATTATTATTGTTGTTGTTGTTGTTATTGTTGTTATTGTTGTTGTTGTTAGTACAACATATTATAATAGTGTTTCAATTTTTGTGACGTCTAAAATATCGTTGACTTATGTAATCTAATAAAAAATACTTTAAAGAAAAAACTCACACATGATCTCAAATGTTTGCATTAAGCAATTGAAAATCACAAAAATTATTATACTTAAAAAATTTAGTAGAAAATGTAGGACATCAAATCACAAGTAAGGTTTAAGATGAATCAAACTATTTGATATTCGGATAAAACTTGGTTCAATAAGAGTTTATTCGAATTTGGTTTACTAACTAATCAAACTTAATATGAATGATATTTTGTCTTTGATAAATTTAGCAATATTCAACTCGACTCGATAAAAACTCATTTGAACTCGGCAAGTAAAGAAGTTACACTTCAACATAATTTTAAATTCATCAAAATAGCCAAACAAGTTTGAATACAAGGATATTTGTATTCAGCTTGTGTAGGCTCAAACAAATTTAAACATAAGAATGTCTGTATTCAGCTTGTGTAGGCTTATTTACACCCATAATCACGAGACACAATTTGAATAACCAAATATTCAAATGCTATATTTTCCTAATAGTTGACATGTCAGTTTGAGTTATAAAATGGGGCAAAAATCTGTTAAGTTTACTTTCCTACGCAACGCACCGTTCTTGCCATATTTTAGTCCTACTAGCTAACCAAATCTTATATTTTTTTTCCTTTCTCTTCTGAATCTTGAATGTGATGCCTTATTGGGTAATCACTTTGTTGATTTTATGGAGATTTCTAACCATCGTCTAGTGAATTGTAGCGTTTTTTTTTCTTAGATTCCTAAAAAAAAAAAAATTATTTTGGAGGCACCTATTAGTATATTTAAATGGGAAAATGATCGGTTTCATCCTTCATATTTCACAAAAATATTTTTTTCATCCCTCACTTAAAAAACGAAGCAATTTCGTCCTTGACATTTAAAAACTGAAGTTCTTACATCCCTGAACCCAAAATTCAATCTGAATCAAACCACCAATCAACCTGATTACAAATTTTGTGGGTGTAATTGATAGATCACTTGGTTAACTCAACTTGATATTCATGTAAAATTTAATGAACCCAAAAATAAAAAATAAAAAATTATAACATAAAAAAGAAAGATTAATCTTTCCTATATTATCATTGTATACATTGACAGTTTTATGTACCGCCATATCATTTCAATTTAAATTTAAACACCAAATTTTATATTTTTGATACGCATCTAGATTCGCAAGCGGATATACTAACGGTGTATGAAAAGATTTATCCAAAAAAAAATTCTACTATTCCAAGACAAAGAATGGCCTTTTATGTTATAATTTTTATTTTTTTGGTTTAATAAATGTCATGTGAATATAATGAAATTGACCAAGTGATTTATCAATTCTATTTCCGAAATTTATTACTAGGTTATTGAATGGTTTGATTCAGATTGAAAATTAGGTTCAGGGATGCAATAGTTTTAATTTTTAAGTGTCAGGGACGAATTTGTTTCATTTTTAAAATGAGGGACAAAAAGAATATTTTTGCGAAATGTGAAGGATGAAACAGATCATTTTTCCTATTTAAATTACATCTAATTCACTAGAATGACAAACCTACATTTATTTAGCCCCTGTATTTTGACACTTTTTTGAAAAAATTAACATCTAGGCCCTTAAACGATGGGCACTATGCAAACTTTTTTAAATTTGTTTCCAAAAACTAGTTTTTATTTGGTTTCTTGGTTAAACTAGTCGCTTGTTTAGCATAACCTATGGCAACTTGGACAGTAAAACACTAAGACTTAAGATTGGGCCAATGAGAATTACGAAAATTAATTTTCCTACTTAATTTATAAACTCAGCCACTACCACACTCAACATAACATTGGTTAGTAGGTTGCCAACGAGGAGTTTGTCATAAAACTTATGACTTCAATAACAAACCTTAACTTGCCAACGAGGAGTTTGTCAAATGGTGAAAAACAAGAAGTAGGTTGAGACCTCAAGAGGTCATGTGTTGAAAGACAATTTGAAAATCCAACTTTCCAAAACAATAATTTAATTAGGATGTTAAAGACAAGGGATAATACTTGAAAGAAATCAAAAGAAATCTCAAAAAAAGACGATGACAAATTCTAAGTTCAAATACTGGGATTGTGGGAGAAAATATCAGTTTCATCTGAATTCACTTCTTCTTCGTAAAGTTAAGAATCCTAAGCACTATGTCTGTTCTGCAATGTGGTCTGGACATTCCCTTGTGATCCATCTGCTTGTTGAAAACGTTCAGCCATGAAATCAGTCCTGGAAGGAAAAGACAGAATCATGGGACGAATTTGTGTTGATGTTGAAGCGCCATCAGCTATAAGCTGGCCAGAACGATTTGCTTGATTCGTGAAGGTAACCGAATTGGCGCTAACACGAAGGTTTTCTGGTAATCCAATGCTGTTCATTCCACCAAGATAATTCACGGGGCGTGATGAAGAAGTTCTAATGCAGGGGTGGATTGGATTATAGCCGTTTTGAAGATAGATTACAGTTCCTTGTTGAGTTGGCTGCTCAAGAATTTGACCCCTCATTTGGGTTTGAGAAATTTGACTCCTCCTGCTTTTGTTGGAGTTTTCAGGTTTCGTTTTATAAATCCTACACAGGACAAAATCATGCAGCTACAAAGTACGAAACACATATTAGTCAAAAGAAATATAAAGCTAGCTACTCATTCCAACCAAACGAAATTATAGCTATAATTTCAACAGATTCTAAATACTACTCTTCTTATTTTTATTTATTTTTCCCCGGGCCGGGTGTGCTGGGGGGGGGGGGGGTTGGAAACTTTAACATGTTCAAGTACTTGAGATTTTCTTTTTAATATTTCCATATGTATGAGTATTCATAAGAGAAGTAGTCCCATCGACTGCAAAAATCATCACTAGTAATTTTTTCAGGGTAAGACGTGGAAAGTTTCGAGTTCCCCCCCCCCCCCGGCGCGGCGGCGGGAGATTTTTTCAGGGTGACTTTTTTTTAGGGTGACTTTTTTTACTTTTTTGGGAGTCAAAGAGAATGTAAATTATTTACCGCTGTGCCAGTACTCGAGGCACTTTCTTGCCTAGGAGACTCATTGACTCTGTATTCTTGCATGGTCCAGTTGGTTTTCCTTCCCACTGGGAGTTTTCCTTCATAAAAAATCCAAGCCTTCTTGAATCCAACAACGGTATCTTTCAATTGGATAGCACTGTCTTCCCCGGTAACTTTCCAAAAGCCAGAACCGGCTTCGCGATATTGTCGGCTACTGCATTCGTTTTTCTTCTCCCTCTGAGTGAAGAAGTACCATTGCCGCAGCCCTGCCGGGGTATACCTTTCTAGGGATGCAGATGAAAGCAAGACAAATCAATGAATATCTCTAGAAATAGAAAGAAAAAAGAAAAAATCCTTCCCAAATCAAGCAATATTAGCAGTAAAAGAACCTAGCAATATTTATCTGTCCTGGTTTCGTGTATGATGTAGAAAATTGTACAAGATATCCACTTCAACAGGTAACCCACGAAGATGAGAACAATAACAAAATAGACCAACAAATCAGCCATGCAAAACACTTTGTGTTTAATTGAATAGTCTGGCACGCTAGAAAACTTGTACAAGATGCTATATATTCTAATTTAGAAAGAGTGAAAACACGCAATTCTGAAACGAAATCTAATAATCCAATAACATCCTTTAAAATCCTAACAAAGGCTGTGTCAAACTGGCCCGGAAATTGTTCAATAAAACAAATTAACTCAGCGTATCCCAAAAAAGAAAAAATAAGTAACACACATATCAAAATAAGCATAAATGCAAAAGTAAACAAGGAATATAGAAAAATATAAACCTGTAAGAATATCCGGGCTGTGAAGGTAAACATTGACATCTCTGATCTGGTTACGAGGCAGGGGTTCTTCCAAGATTTTCTTTTTCAAGTAATCAACAATAAGTTCGCTATCGCATGGACAAAATCGGTAACCAGGTGGAAAAGAATCGAAGTAGGATTCCTCAAATCCTTCTTGATCAGTAAATTGGCTATTGCCATCCATATCTCCAGGATTGATATCTAAGGCAGCAAGGAACGGTCGTACTTGTTCTTGGCACTTATTCACATAACTCTGGTCAATACCTTGTTGCTGCTGCTGCTGCTCATCAACATCCATCTTTGAAGTTTTACACAACCCTAGACCAAAAAAGGATGTATATATAGGGCAAATGCCACGGTTATCAAGCGTCAGCTTAGTCATAATTTGGGAAGTCGGCTTGAGCCAAAGAATACTTGACGAAAAAAGCTTGAGCTATAGAATGGTAGCTTTGTCATGATTTTGTTAAGTTTGGTAATTTATAGAAAATACCATTCTAGTTGAATAACTAGATATTCTGTTGTTATATTTTGTTAGTTTTTGACGTGGCATCTTGATTCATAAATGGGAAGTTTGACACAAGTTTGTTAAGTTTGAAATTCTAGAAAAGTACCTTTCTAGTAGATCAAATCTTAATAGTTTTTCTTTTTTTTTTTTTGGTTCTTGAATGTCCTAACATTACGGTTATCACAGTTTTATTTGTTTCTTGGTTCAACTAATCACTGCATGCTTATAGACTACCGCAACTTGGACAATAGAACCTTAAGATTTTGCCAATGATTATGTGAAAACAAATAACATAAACATTAGTTCAAACAACTTATGACTGCAATAACAAACCTCAGGTTTGAATTAAGTGGTGAAAAACAGGAAATTGAGACCTTAAGTTGTCATGTGTTGATCAAGTTTTACGAGTTATAAGCTAATCTAATATTTGTGCTTATAATCTAATCGCAGTTATGGGTGTCTTGCCATCGCTTCTTTGGAAAACATAACAGAGCATTGTCTTTAATATCACATTAGATATTTACCATTTAAATTAAATTTTAATTTTTTAAAATTGGTAAAATTTACTACCTCTATTCGAATAGAACTCGCTAATCTTTAAGCGAGATACAGTACTTGTATTGTAAATTTTGGGGATCTCGTTCCTACAAACAATATCTTATCATTGAAGTAAGGGATAATTTCAGAAACCTCCCCTAAGGTTTCGAATAATTGCACAGACCTTCCCTCAAGTTTATTAAATTACGTCTACCTCCCTTGCTTTTACTGTTTATATAACAATATAGGTCCAAAAGGCTATTTTTTCCTCAAAAATCCTAAACTGCCCTTTTTGTACAAAAATAAAATAAAAATTATTTTTCCAATTGTTTTCTTCTATATTTCAACCAAACCTACTATACTAACAAACAAGCCTAGCAAATAGTCCAATTCCAAATTCTTAACCCAAGCAATTCCATTATCATAGGCATGGATGGGATTAATCAAGTTTAAGAGAAGGAAATGCATCATTGTGATTATAGAGATTTTCAAGAAATTCATTTTGCCAAAAATTAAAATTTTATTTACAACTAATCACACCCCAAACTTCAAATCCAAAGCCCACATCTTCTCAAAACAAAATAATCTAACCTACCATCAAATCTCCAAACATGTTAACGTCTTAAATACAGAGAAGAAACTCCATCTCCATAACGAAAACCACAACCAACAATTGTCAAGTATAGAAAAATATATATAAATGTACTTATTAACATCTTCAAAAGTTCTTGGATGGATGATAGGCAAATTAGCAAATGTACCAATTTCAGTTTCTCTTCCTCTTTTGGGCAATGATTGCATTATTTGTTCCATTATTATTGTATGTCTCTTCATCTCCTTTTAGTTTGACCATGAAATTGAATTTTACTTCAACCATCAATTCTAATCTCTCAACTAAACTTGTGATTTGGCAATTCTAAAGAGAAGAAAGGAGAAATAGGAATATATAGTAGAGTTTGAGGGATCATTTGTGGTGTGATTGGTTGCAGTTATAGACAATGATTAGTAGTAATTTAAGAGCGAGTTACAGGATGAAATGGTTGATGGATGAGAACGGAGTGATAGTAAGTAAGAGAGAATTGTCGTTAATTGTAACTTGTAAACAAGATAGTCGAAGAGATTAGATTTCTTTTTCTTTTTTTTTTAATCTCATTTCATTATACTGTGAATTATTTATTAAGTGAAGGTCATTGTAGTCATTTTATTGTGATAAGCAAGATTAGTGTGATTTGTAAAACTTGAGGGGAGCCGAGTGAAATTATCATAAGCCTCAGGGGAGGTTTGTGAAATTATCCCTTGAAGTAAAACAAATTATCACTTGTAAAACAAATTATTACTTATGATTTTGTTCAGAAATTTCTTACTTTGTTTTATAGAATTTACCATTTGATTAGGAAAGCAAGCTTGTATTAAAAAAATTTAAAAATTATTACTTTTCCTATGTATATTTACTCTAATTATGAGCACAACTTCACTAGCAAAACTGACCACTTTATAAAGGTTTAACTATTTTCTTACTAGAAATAGCATTTTAGGAATTATCTTATGTTTAGACCCCCCCCTTATGTTTGAAATATTACAGTTTACATCTTTCCGCTATATAGTCACACAACAGAAAGCCCCCTGACATTACTAAACTAACGTCTGTTACTATCATAAAGCTAGCAAATTGTGTGAAAGCCCAAAGTTGCTCCTAGAAACTATTATATTTTAAGCTTTTAAAAGTTACTAAGAAAAACGTGTGATAAAAAAATTGAGGGAAAAAAGTGAAAAGCCTGAAGCATGCTCTTCATAACTCTTGGTCCGTTGGCCGCTGTCATCACAACCATACCTCTAGATTTGATTTCACAATTTTCCCTCAAATGGGCCAAAAGCCTCTAAATCACGCTTAAGCTAGTCTCAACCTAACCACTTTTTTCCTTCCTTATTCTCCCAAAATTTTCCTTAATCTCAAGGGCACATCTTGTTAACATTCTTCAACAGATATTCATTAATTTTTTTTCCATTTCCGTCTCTCCCACATCCAAGTAATTTTATCAGCAACAAATATTTGTTGCTGGTGGTGATAGAAGTGATAGTAGGCAGCCGGTTTCACTTCTACTCCTTGTTTCATTTTCTACTTTTGCTTAGAATAGCGTAGGGTACCTTAGTAATTGCATATTAAGATTTAACACTATTAGAAGAGTGTTAGGTTAAAGGGTTAGATGGTAATATTCTAAACCTCAAGGGTCTAGTGGGAATTTGGTTAAAATATGAGGGAGGATGTAAATATTAACCCCAAAATATACACTTATCCTAACCGTTATTTTCTTTTTACTTAAGACAAGACTATATTAACAGGTTAAGTACTTATAGCCCTTTTTTGCTTCAGAGAGGATTATTCTAACAACTTAAGCACTTATTTTACCCTTAATTGTCTTTTTGTCCCTTTACAACATAATTTTGTACAGCATTATCATATTCTTTCCCAAATTATACAAATACGAATGTGCAAAATATGTACGGAAGTAGTTTTTGCAATTAGCAAATATTCAGCAAAAAAATGTTCTGATATTAGTAAAATATTTTAGTGATATTTTGACTTGTTTAAGGACTCCTGTGCAAATTATTCATTAACCCAATCACCACCGGTTTAAACTTCAACTACTCCCCGTGGGTTGTGGTTTGTGAAGAAATATAGGGTTTCTCCAAAAATCCAAACTTTCCGAATCCCTGGGAAGTCCCAAATCATAATTGTTGAAGTATAAAGATCACAAATATTTTTGCGTAAATGAGAATCCACACTTTAGCCTATATTATTTTTCTAGGCTAAATACAATTCCAAATGATTTCAGATAGGCTACAATCTATTAATGATAAACACAATGTTTATGTACCCATAAAGGCTAATGATTGCCAACGATTGTACACGAAGGTGTGCGAATGCTCTAAGGGCCTCCCATCCGATGTGGGAGTGAAAGTTCGTTTTCTCAGTCTCACCTAATTTTATCTTTGACAGTGAACTGAAAGTGATATTTGAAATTTTGAATGGTAGTAAATATTTTGTTCACATTTCCAATGAGGATTTCTTATTTTGTACCATTATTTCGTTTTCAACATTTTACAACACAGGATGCCAAAAACCCATATATGTATGTGCGTAGGTCCATATTGTCCTATGCTGTCTCAAGTGTTAGGAACAAATATAGCAAATTGAGGTTTCTTCGTAAGAGACAAAATCTAGACTTAACTGGAGTAAGCGTAACTAGTGTGTTATAAAGTGGGATATCGTTTGTACTAAGTGAAGGACATATCATAACTTGGAGGGCAATAAACGAAGTTAAGCACAATTTGATTTTTGTTTCTTTTCTCCACCTTATTCTTTAGTTATTTGCTATTTGTGTTTAACCACTTTTTTATTTTGAATTTATGAGAATTAGGTCAACCGAATTCATCCCCTTCTTAGATTATTCTCGTGCCAACATGATTCATCTTAAAACTAATTAAATTTAACATATGCACAATATTTTACATCATTTATTAAAAGTTGAGCATTTGACATGGTTTTGTCAAGGGTCTGAATAAGTTTAATCAGGGCGAACACCCTAGTATTCAAGTTTATTTGATTATTTTAATGAATTTGAAATTTTATTTAAATTTGACTTATTTTTTGCCTAACCGAGTTTGAACCCTTTTTTTTTATCGAATTCGAATGCTATCAAACGTAAAACGCTGTTCAATCTTGTCTTGACTATTTGGTAAACCAAATTCGAACGAACTCTTACGAAACCAAACTCGATTCAAGTATTGAGTAGTTTGACTCATCTTTTAACCCTACATTTTGTTACAAAAATAGTAAAAGTAAGGATAGTACTCATAATTTTGAAAACCTCGAGGATGCCAAGTGAAATCCTTAGAAATGTCAAGAGAGGTTTATGAAATTATCATTTTTCTCTAATAAAGATAGAATTACCATATCAATTTAAGCACTTATCTTACCCTTAGTTTTTGTCCTTTAAATGTACTATTTTTATATAAATATTTATAAAAAAATTAATTTCTTATTAAATGTTTTCAAGTTGTACTAGAGTATACGGACCAAATATGTACATGCAAAGTATGTGTACAAACAACTTTTGTAAATAGCGGACAAAGACAATAGGGGTGTACATGGATCGAGTACCTGTTCCAAAAGGATTTGGCTAACCCAACCCTAATTTATCGAATTAGCAATTTTGCGATTCTAATCGGCCCTTAATGTCTCTGGGTACCTACTC